CCATTGAAATCTACCTGATGACTTTATATCCATGCTCAGATGCCAAGGAGCTCAGAAAGTAACTGACTGACTAGTAATAATCAGATATATAGAGATTAGAAACACATGTGTAAACATCTTAATGCCAATTGCATTAAAAATGAATTTTTCTGAATGAAACCATGTATTTTAATAATGAAAAGGAGATCTTTTTTAAAGGTTAAAAAACTCATTTAAGTTTATGTCTTAGAGGATTTATACTGAGTAGAATATTGTATAACTGTAATAATTCAATGGTAAACCTAAAAATTTACAGCCAATTATGAAAGAGATGCATCTTAGCTCAGAAAATTGTTATTGCATATGTCAATGCTGTTGTAATGAAATGCTTCTTTCTAAGTATGTGGTTGTTAAATAAATAATTTTTTAAAAAGAGTACTTATGAGGGGCTGGAGAGATGATTCAACGATTAAGAGCATTTGCTGCTCTTGCAGAGGACCTGGGTTTAATTCCCAGCACCCATGTGGCACTAACAACCATCTGTAAGTCCAGTTCCAAGAGATTCAACATCTTCTTCTGACCTCTGCAGGCATTATACAACACAGGTGCACTTACAAACATGCAGGCAATACACTGAAGCAGGTTATGTAAATTTTTTTAAAAATTAAAGGAATATATATGAAAGGAAATATTATGTTTTTGATACATACTATTTCTATAAGCCAATCATAAAGAAGTCAATTCAACCAAAAAAATTGAGAAGGGTATAAAAATAAAAATACAAGAAGGCAGCTTGCTCTCCCTTAGACTTGCTTTTCCAGCAGCTCATAAAACTTATTCAATGACGGAATCCACAGTGAGCCTACTGAGGAGTTCCCTTGGGTAAAAATGAGCACTTTGCCCAGCCCCAGTCCACACCATTCCAAAGACAGCTGGCATCTAATGGCTAGTGGGCATCTCCCTACAACATAAGGCATAATTTATTCCCTCCCCTCCTTTCTTTGAAAACAGACCTTCCCTTTATTTCTCTTTCTTTATCACGGGCAAAATTTGAGGTTTCAGCAGGTAAATCTGGACCTGGCAAAAACTCTGTGTTGTTTTCTAGAAGATCCCCGAGTCCAGAGTCCAGAGACACACTCCCGTGACTTCACGGCTGGCCACTTGGGGGCACTGCGGATCCATTGAGTGAGCTATGCACTGACTTCAGAATGAGGATCCAGGAGAGCTTTGGTTTGGAGAGCACACCAGGACGTTATCCTTAGAACCAGAGGCAGCCCTGGCACAGGAAGGGTTAATCTTCTTGACACATCCACTGTACATCACAACAGCGAGCCATGAGCTGCAGCTGTGGCTCTAGGAGCCGACATTTGACAGGGAGTGGGGCAGCCCAGACCACAGGAAGCTGGGTAGAGAGAGATAGGAAACTGCTTCAGAGGAAAGTGTGACAACTGCCCCACACCCTGCTGGGTTTGTTCACCACAGTCAGCTTCCCTTTCACCACAGCTGGCCTAGCAGAAAGCAGTAAAGGCTGAGCCAGCTGAGTGTGTCCAGAGGGTTCAGAGGGCCTGTGGGAGACAAGATTCCCGACCTCAGAGCTTGACATCATAGGCAAGTCCTCTCAACAGAGACAGGAGGGGAAGACCTCCTGCTCTATTACCCAGGAGAGCAGCATCCTGAAAAGGAAGATGCTTAGTCCTGTTCTCATTGACTCTTGGGGCCCCAGCCTCCTCTGCTGTGTTACCCTCTGTCTACTGGGAACGAGTAAGTCATGAGCACGGGCGGGCAGTCCCTGAAGCACAGTTCTTACTGCTGCTGCAGCAGCAGTGCTCTGAGTCTATGTGCTCACTCCTGTCTCCTCCCTCCACAGGTTCAGCAGATACAGGGGTCATCCAGTCCCCCAGACATATAATCAAAGCTAAGGGAGGAAGGTCCATTCTGAAATGTTATCCCATCTCTGGACACACCAGTGTGTTCTGGTACCAGCAGGCTGTGGGGCAGGGGCCTGAATTCCTCATTCAGCATTATGAAACGACGGAGCAAAACAAAGGAAACATCCCTCACCGATTCTCAGTTCAGCAGTTTAGTGACTATCACTCCGAGATGAACATGACTGCCTTGCAGCTGGGAGACTCGGCTGTGTATCTTTGTGCCAGCAGCTTAGCACAGCCTTGCAGAATTACTGGCTCTCTGTACCCAAACCTGCCTGTCCCAGCTCTGACAATATAGTAGGGGGGTGAAGGGTACCACAGGGTCTTAGCCAAAGTCTGGGGATGTTTTGTAACCCTCTCTGCCCTGCTGAACTCAAACAGAGCGCTCCCAAATATCATGCCCCAGACCCCTCAGATGGTCTCACATCTCTGCCAGTACCTCCTAATTCCAGCAAGTGGTAGGTACCTGTTTTAATGCAAGGATAGAAACTGGTGTACATACTCTGTAGATCAACATTTCTATATATTATAGACAGGAATCAGTAGCTCGTAACATTTCCCAACATTTCATATTTAACACTATCTTCTCTAGAATTGAAGCCTGTATTTCTTTGCCTCCAAAATCAAGGTTCTCAGCAGTTCTGTGGTATTCCATAGTCTTGCTCAAACAATGTAACAGAGACTGCCTGCTGTGCTTCGAGAGCAACCGAGCAGCAGTGAGAGGCTGCATTGCTGGTTACTGATGCATAATACTAACCAGAGAATGTTTGTCTTGTCAGGGTCTCAAATGAGGTGAGACCACATTACACTACACAGGTGCACTTACATGCATGCAAGCAATACACTCATACACATAAAGCAAAACTGATATATAAAATATTAGAAAAGAAGCTTCATTGGCCTGACTTGGCTCGGGTAGTGCCTCCTTTGTTGGCAGCTCTTGGCTTTCTAGAACCAGCTGAGCTCTAGGCCTAGGTAAGGTTCTTTGTAGGATAGCCAGACCCTGGCAACTTCTTCATATCTGTGCTGTGCTGCCCTCCCTTGGTTCTGCTTCTGGTTCTTAGTCCTCTTCCACTAGGGTAGGATTATAGAAAGTATCCATCAAGAGTCCATCAGGGTGTGTGGCCACAGCAAGGAGGCTTCATGCTGAGATATGGTCATCATAGGAAGTAATCTGTATTGCCATAGAATAGAGGTTAATTTATTATGATAGAAAATTTATAACAAAGGTGGATTCAAGAGCTTTTAAATGAAGGTAGAATATTTCTCTGTGATCCCAGGGCAACAGAGATACATATTACTTGACAGGCAGCTCACCCACATTGCTGAAGGGTTTTATCCTTTTGACAGAAAGCACAGTGACAAGGGCCTAGGAAGTCCACAATCCACAGCATTACTGGGAACAAAGGGATAATTCCTATCAGTGAGGATACACTGTGGGTTGAGCCTGGTAGGCAGGGCTTGTGTACTGAAGTGGTGTGGATATCTTAAAAGTTCTTCAAATAGCAATGACTCCAACCTTGATGCTTTTAAAGCTTTCCAGATATTAAGCAGTCCTTGTAGCCATGGATATCACTGAAGTCTGTATTCAATTATTTAGTGAAAGAGAAAAAAACTAGTAGAGACCTCATAGAATATAGCAGGACTGTCCTGTAAATGCCCCTTGGTACTACAGAAATAGTAAAAATTAAAACAGTGTACAAAGAAGTAATTATATCATAATGCGAATAAAATATGCCTAATGTGTTTACTAAAATTGGAGAAAGCAAGGCTGGGCATGGTGGCACACACCTTTAATCCCAGCACTTGGGAGGCAGAGGCAGGCGATCTTTGTGATTTCGAGGCCAGCCGAGTCTACATAACCAGTTCCAGGACAGCTGGGGCTACAGGGAGACCCTGTCTCAAAAAGACAAAAAA